AACCCCTGGCACGTGAGAGGGTTGAGTATGGCACGCCAAGTGATTTTAAAAACATATTACAAAATCAAAAAATAATAGCACCATTACAAATAAACAAACTGCGACATGAGGTCGAGCTAGAACTCACACGTCCAGCACCCATCTTTCTATTAGTATTAAATCTACCGGATTTTTTATTTGCGGGAGTGCACTTTCAGCCGCGGTGACAGAAGCTACATAATTAAGTAGTCGCAATGGCAGCTGCCAAGAAAACCAAATTAATATATGTTCGATCCTTTCAACCCTCTTGAACAAAAGACTTTGGATTTATTCTCAAGAATGGTCGAGCTGCGTGTGCTCTGTGTTGCGAGAATGTTGTTTGCTGGGCGTCAAGTGTAAAGAGACGACATTATGAAACGAAGCACGAGAAGACATTTAAGAACAATGCAGACAAGGCTGAAGCAACTAAGAAGGCAGTATCCTGCTATGAAAAACAAAGCAGCATTATGAAGAATCTGAGTGCAAACAAAGATCATGCAACTGAGGCCAGCTACAAAGTTTCTCTGTGTATTGCTAAACATGAAAAACCATTTATTGATGTTTATATAAAGAAAGCCTTTCTCAACAGCTTTCAAGTTTTATTTAGTGATTTACCAAACAAACACAATCATTTCAAGGATAAAGACATGCTTGTTGCAGCCAGGACTGTAGAGAGGCACATATCAGACATGTCTGCAAATATAAGAGAACAAGAGAACAGCAAACTGTTACATTAACAAATACAACTGTGTTCATTATTACTTACCTAACATATGGTCAGCAAAAGTTAAAGCAAGACGAGCATCACCCAGCATGACTGGACAGATGGGATGGTTTTCACCAGCAAGAGTAAAGCCTGCTTCTCTCATCTGAGACCTAAATCTATCCGTGTTGGCCTGAACCTTTTCAGCAAACCCCGAGTTTCCAAGAAGCAAGTCAAACACCTGTGGGTATCAGTAAGCATAATTAAACCTGTATTCACATTTAAACAGTTGGGCTTATAATTTTATTTGTTTTTGTTGTGTCTAAAACCACATACTATTTACACTTATTAAATTTGTAAAGATTCCTATACACTGCCCCCTCACTTAATGGAGGGTTGTGTTCTTAGAAAATGTCGTGTTGAGTGAACCCATTATAACATGGGGAGAGAGGGAATGCACAGGTGGACCCTAAAAAGTACCCCCACCAAAAATAATGTACAGTTGGGTCTTCATTTACGCTGTCAATTGAACCCGTGGAGTACCGAGTAAAACAAGAAATGCATAAATGAAATAACAGAACATGTGGGATTAATTGAAAAAGAGACTGGGCCGACCCCCAAACTCCACTTTTTCTGACACAATACGTACCTTGTAGTCAAAATAACATCTTAATTTTATGATGGTATGCACACAATAAATAATTAAGAGCAATATCAATAATATTAGGTTTTTTAACACTTACATTAGTAGAAAATATGGCTGGGCACACTTGGATGGGAGGTTGGTTCCGAGGCAGAGGGCAGATTACTGGCCCTCACCTGTATCACTTGTATCACTATCCACCACATAGGCTTGCAGGGCCTCTTTGTCAAACCCCTCAAAGTCCATATCCTCACTATCACTGACTTGAGCCGGCCGTGGTGGGTGGCGGGTGAAGTACTTGGTAATGTTTTGATGACTGGGCGACCTTGTGCGCACCCTGCCCGCGCCGCTTCCCGCGTAAATGACCAAATTTACCGCGTAATTAAAGCATTTCAATTCTGGCAAGGCACCGCGTAAATGACCAAACGCGCAAACAGAAACCGTGTAAATCCAGACTCAACTGTACTCCAAAACCCAAGTTCAAAGACATTGTACAGCTCCAAAGTAGCTCACTAATACACACACATCTACCAAATTCACTTCAACATAATGTTGTGGAGGCACTGGCATTTCCATGAAATCAGTTCCTGAACAGCAAAAAAAAAAAAAAAAAACTACCATACTAATGCTAAATAGTACACAACTACTGTACTGTAATTAATAACATACTATCTCCATAAAAATAAGCAGCTAAAACCATTTATTAAAAGCTAAATGAAAGTTTAATACAACTGTCACTTGCATAGATACTAGCTGTGTCATGCGTGGTTGCCCTCAAGCCTCACCATAACCTAGACTGGCAGGGGACACTCCCCCTCCCGACCCTTAGCAATGCTCCCACTGCTGCTCTAACTCACAAAGAAATGTTTATTTCCATTAAGTTATTGACTATGATATTTACTTCTTTTACCTTTTTTTTGCACATTGTGTGTGTATGTAAATGAGTAAAAAAAGTGAATAAAGTTAAGTTTTTGTACCTGAAATTACAAGTTGAAAATAACCATAACATAACCCCCCCCCCCCACATACTGATAAATTTGAGTACTTTTTAAAAAGTAAATACAGTACCCAAAAACATTACTTGAGAACAGTACTCAAGTAAATATTATTTTCTTTTTAATTTACAACTCTGCATAACTCCTGCTAAATCTTATTGGCCCACGATGAGGTGTTTTAATCACTTTGTGTTTTTGACCTTATGATAATTATGATGATTTTTATTTATTTTTTCATATTCTGTGTCTAGGAGTGTGTGTGCATGTAACTGATTAAAAAAAAAATATGAAGAAAGTTATATTTGTCTATCCGAAATTATGGCTCTAATATTCTCAGCATTCCTATTGATTGACTCGTTCACGGAGAAACCACTTTGACAGAGTGGGTAAACTGGCCTCTCTCTAGTTGTTGAAGAATGTCTAATTTAATTTGCTGGGTTAACGTGATCCTATTCTTCTTTGCTGGAGTATTCCCAGGCAGATAGTTATAGAAGTAGGCATAAAAACTGCAGTTAATCCAAGTGAAGTTTTTGGTTGTGGCAGAACCACGTGGGTGGCATGGGGACACTACCAATGGACTTAAACAGCTGGCCAACTGGGGAGGCTACCAATGGATAGTTTATTAACATTAAATAACATTACTTAAACATATATATATTCATTTTTTTTTACATTAATTTTACTACAGCTACAACCAGGGTCTTATTTTCTCATGTAGAACTATCGTCCCGGACTCCCGGCTGTAAACACAAACGAAAACAATGGCGTCCCATCTCCTCTTGTGCGACCATATTATTATTCATATATACAGTATTGTATAAGGTGCATTCAGAAACATTATTTAAAGAATGTAGTTTGCAATTTTCATTTATTGTATTGTTTTGGGGGGAAAAGAGGGTAAAAAGCCACACAAAAGATATGAAAAGGTCACACTTGGGAACGCATCTCATTATTATTGTTTTATTTTAAAGGTAATTAATGATTCGCGATGCGATGATTTACCTTACACTGCAGTAACGTCGTTATTCGAGGCTTTGCTGTACAGGGACATTATACTTCATTCTTCAAATGCAATTAATTTAAAATCAATCATAAAAAAATGATGCTCTATAGTATGCCACAGTTCATTCTTCAAATGTATACAGGTATTTAACTTCAAATTAATCATAATAAATAATGATTCTCTATAGTATACCACAGTTTACTCTTCATATGTACAGTAAATACAGGGGTAATGATTTACTATAATGCCAGTATGTCATTTATAAGAAAAAGGGAAATTTGCGTTACAAATACAGGGTATTGTGAATGCATTATGATGACCTTACATTTCATTATTCGAGTTTACAGTATGTTATCAAGTATTTCAGTTAATATATGGTCTTTATTTAAACCAGGAAATTTTTTCTTTTTCAAGTAAAAAATAAAGGGGGGAGGGGGATACCTTTGATACAGCCTTGCTAAAATTGAAACCGGGGGGGTGGTGGACACTTCTCAAATTAATCTGCAAACTAACCTTGCTAGCACTTGCCACTACAGGTGGAGGCAGAGAATTTGAAAAGAGATAAGGTCTTGCCCGCTGCCTGAGAAGGGAGATAAGCTCTTGTGGTCCAGTAGTATAGCCTCCAGCTGCACCTCCCAGGGCTTTACCCAGAGTGCTGTTGATGATATCCACTCTACCAACAGGCAAACCAAAATATTCTTCTGTTCCTCTGTATGATGAAGTAAAAGTGTATACAGTATATATATATATATATATATATATATATATATATATATATATATATATATATATATATATATATATATATATATATATATATATATATATATATATATATATATATATATATATATATATATATATATATATATATATATATATATATATATATATACATATATATATATATATATATATATATATATATATATATATATATATATATGCTGGAGATAGGTTACAATGTGAGAATACAATCCTTATACAAGATTTGAGACAGTTTTGCAGTAAATTATTTTTTATCCCACACATTAATTATCAGTTTCTTAAAATCAATATTTCAACTTTATCTTCAATACACATTTTTAAGAATAAATGCAGAGGGTTTTTACCTTCCTGAAGAACCCAAAAATCCTGTGGCATGGCACTCATCAACAAATACTATGGCATTATATTTATCAGCAAGATCACAGATTTTTGTTAATGGAGCCACATTTCCATCCATACTAAATACGCCATCTGTTACAATTAGTTTCATGCGAGCATCGTGGCATTCCTGGAGTTTGATCTCAAGATCTTCGGGAAGAAAAAATACCATTGTTATTTAGTTGTATGTACTGTACAAAAAATTTATACATTAATGAACTTACAATAATGGCTCTTTAATTATTAATTACAACAATGACCAGACACAGATACTGGTATTGTGGGTTCCGAGTTATAGAAAGGTAGCCTGCCTGGCACCCTACAAAAATCAATCTATATAAAACCTGCAGACCACAATGGAATCTTCTTATAATTACCGATGCAGTCTTGCCAAAATCACCTAACTGACAATGGTTGGGGTCAACCTGCCACCAGTATCATACACAGAGAAGTATCAAGTCATAAGTGGTGACACAATAGTAGCAGAGATGTCCTTTTCAAATTAATTTAACAAAATTAAAAATAATTGAGTAATTTTAGTTGATTTTTAATGTTAACTGACCCAATCCTGACATAATGGAAAGATATTTTTTATATTCCAAGAAATGGATGACTGCTGATATACCATGTATGTTTGAAAAATAGCATCTAGACATTAATGTTCGCCAATGGGCCATTAATCAAAGCTGGGGGGACATAGTTTGATAATACAGTATTTGTGTACAGCCATCTATACAGTATTGTACATTCTTATAATAAATTTTACTCACAATCTCAGTAAAGGTATCATACCTTGCATATTCTTATGTTGATATCTGAACTTGCGGGCCTTACAAAGTCGAATGCCATCAATTATGGATGCATGATTTAGTTCATCTGAGAGAACCGCATCAGAAGGAGTAAGAAGTACTTCAAACAGTCCAGCATTGGCATCAAAACAAGAGGCAAATAATATAGCATCATCGCGACCATGAAATCTTGCTATTTTTTTTTCCAGCTCCTGTAAAGAAAGGGTACAAGAGTGTACAGGTGGCCTATCAAAAATCCGGCAACCGATAAACCGGAACCTTCAGTTTTCCGGCATGGATTTCGGAGCGCATTTTCAAATATTTCTTTGTTTATTTAATGAAGATATATGTTTTAGCTCATAAAATTCATACAAATTACCCGGCCAGAATATAATTTACATTGCTGGAATTCTTACAATTTGATGATCATTTTGAATATAAACATCATAGATTTTGCATTAGACATACAAATTTTAGATATAATGTTTACTCTGAGTAAATATGTTATCTTTTGTGCAAAATATATGAAATTTATATTCAAAATATTCCTGGTCTTACAAGGAATCCAGCAATGTCAATTATATTATCCTAACTTAAGTGTTTAATTTTCTTTGTTTAAAGGACTGTACAGGTAGTCATTTTCTGTTAAACTTACCTATACAGCAAATATAACCATCAGTTTTCCGGCATTTTCGAAAATCCGGCACTCCTCAGGTCCCGAGGTTGCCGGATTTTTGATAGGCCACCTGTATATGTATACAGGTACAGTACCTGTAATTACAAACTAATATGAAAGGTTAAGTGGCATAGAATCATAGTGTCTGTGGATTGAAAATACAGTACAGTATAGTAAAGATTCATTAAGAATGATCCTGGTGAAGCGGATATTGCTTAAGCCGGACAAAATTATTTGCCCAAAATTAAAAAAAAAAAAAAATTGGACAAAATTTGTACTCCGATGACATGTCCGCCTTGAACCAAAATTTCAAGGGACCAATGTGTCAGCGCACAGGTGCCCGAGAGTTATCAACTGTTGTTTGGGAGAATATTCTTTCATTCACTCTAATAATGATATCATGTTTTTAATTATATTATCGTAAGTAAATGCATGGTTTATATAATTGGTTTACCACTGTGCCCGTCATCTTTTCAAATCACACTACAAGATATGTATTTCTCCCATACGTATTTCGATCATATGCCTGGCAACAGGACCCTGGAAGTGAGTGAGTGACCGCTAGTTAGAGCGTCGTCTGCAGTTGTGACTCCCCTCCCTCCCAGCCATTATTTCACTGGATTTATTGTTATTATTAGCATTTACTGATATAATAGGGCTTAATAGTCATTTATCATGGTATTGTAGCCATGTTAGACTCACACTGTAACCACCAAGCTACTGGACCAAGAGTAACTTTCTTAATTTATATTTACTCAGTTACATGCACACACTATCCTACATACATACTGTATTGTGAAAAGAGTAAAAGAAATAATTGTCTTTACAACCTCTTATGCCGGACACCCCTTCTCCCCCAATTAGTCTGCCTTAGCGAGGTTTTACTGTATTGGGAATTGTAAATGACTTGTATTTATAGTAGGCTGTGCAGGTTAGCAGTTCCCCGACTAGGGGCCGGGCAAGTTATTCTTTACGTCCATGTACCTGACAGTTGCCCGGCAGACAAGCGAATAATTTGAGAGCAAAATACACTAACTAAGAGAGGAATTGTCAGACTTCTGTTTGACCCCACTTGACCATACAAGTTTAACCAGGGAAGTCCATCAATAGGCCATTTGTCTGCAGTATACGAGGATTAGTGACCTTTGTCAGGTGTAGGCAATTTATCTCTACATTAAGCTGCCAAATGTATTCCTATCTTCAAATAATCTTTCTACATCATCATAGGTGATTATACAGTACTAAATCTACTGAATCATCATCTGCCAAGTCACCAAGGAGTGAATTTTACCACTCAACTGAGCACAGAATTATTGCTATTGGTCAAAAATTTTATGAGAACTATATTTTACCAAGAAATGAAAAAAAAGAAGCGATGTTACAATACAATAAAATAAAATAAAATAAAATAAAATAAAATAAAATCCAACGAACTGGTAAATCTCGAGCCACGGACTAGCACCAGTATGATGAGGAATTTCAGCACAATTACAGTACAAAAGTGACATTGGCAAGGAGTGAATATAAGTTATCTATGAGTTGTTGATGATTTTTCAATGGTTGGAATGGGACTGTTATTATGGTGATCATTATGTGGTTGTATGGGCTGGATGTGGTTGTGTCAAACTGCAATTCATGGAATAGGGATCCCTGGTGGTTAAAGGAGACAGTGGTGAGGATGGTGTACAGCAGTAGTTTCATCCCAAAATGACAGATGAGGGCATGGTGATAATCAGAAAAAGTTGAGAGATTGGGGAGTGGGACTGAGGCCCTTACCGTATTTGTCGGCGTACAAGGCCACGGGGTGTATAAGACGACCCCAAAAATTTCCATTTAAAACATAGGTTTTGAGCTATACTCACTGTTTAAGACTACCTCAAATCTGACACTTATCAATGGGAGCTTACTGCCCCAGTAGTCCTTTACCAGCCATCCCACTGACCAGTGGAGTGATGCTGTTAAACACACTGCTAAGCAACACAGCCTTGGTTACTTAAAATAAGGCCAATTCACTTAAAGTAATGGCATCAAACATTACCAGCTGGTGTAGTGTAAACACTAGTGATGCCACTGAAGCGTCGTCTGGAACTAATGTCGGTGTCGAGTAAAATTTGACCATTTACTTGAAATGAATTTACTGGTTTATTTGTTTATTTATTTATAATATACTGTGATATATTAGAAATGTAGGCATAATATACACTGCAGGTATTTTCTTTAATTTATAAACTTGCTTCGCGAGACGATCGGTAGGACTGGCTGTTTGTTTACGTCGGCGGCAGTGGCAAATGGCGGGCGGTGCGTGGTGATACCTGCGTTTATTATGTTGTTATTTTACTGTATTTACGGTATGTTAGACAGGTTTATAATAAATTTTTATTATTTTAATATACCAGTAATCTTATTTTTAATCTAGCTTCCCAAACGTAAATTTAAGTAGAAAATAATTAGTGGTAGGACCGTGGGATTAAGGCGAGTGTTTTACGATGTTCTCCATCACCACTGGTGACACACTAAACCACAAGATGGAGAGGTTCGGATTTTATACCCGGCATTTAAGATGACCCCTAATTTTGGGCTGATTTTTTTAAGGTTCAAATTCCGTCTTATATGCCGACATATACGGTACTTTAATTGGTAGACAGAATAACAACAACTAATTAATGAAAGGTAGTCCCCCCAAAAGTTACAGTATATTTGTTTAAACAGAAGTTGAAATAAGTGAGGGTATATTTAATGCTAAGACTTACCTTGTGGATGTCTTGAGTTCCACATACAAAGCGAACAGATGAAAGTCCTGCTCCATACTTGTCAAGTGCATCTTTCCCTGCCTGAATTACTTCAGGGTGGCTCTAAATGGAGAAGTTGTCTTACAGTACATTACAAGTGACAGTAGAATATTCAGAACACCCCTGTACTTTATGCAGAATTAAGATTCGAGCTTTTAATGTACAGGTATCACATCTGACAAAGATCATCTGAAATTAGAAAACTGATAGAATATGGCTCATGCTATATGCCAGTCTTTGCATGAGAAGGGGTAAATTGACTTTTTGCAGTACAGTATATTATTCACTGCAACTACACAATATTCAATTTATCTATGACCATCTCTACACTGGTAAAATTGTATGCAGTAAGGAAACTCCAAAGGAAAGGTTTCTAATCTGATATTCGACATTCATTAATGATAGAGCAAATGAGTTCCCACTTAAGTAACTAAGACTGTTGGAGTGGTCATAATGCCACTCTGGTTCTTGCACTAAGGGAGCACTGTGATATTTCAAGGGGGTCTGTGAAGAAAAATACTAGTACAGTATGTATGACCCACAAAACAAGGAGAAAAAGTTTATGCACGCACACACGATTGTGATCAAAACTAAGCAAATGAAACAAACTTGATAAGGAAAGTGTCCTAAATATGCACTCTGCTAGACCACATCAAATATTCCCAGGACTTGAATATCAGGAGGGGTCAGAGGTCAACTCATAGAGGGACAAAGAGCAAATAAGTCTAAGAATTACTGCTCCATGCATTATTGCAGGACTGACTATAAATTCTCTATATAGTTCAAATAAAGTTGCTGATCTTTTACCTAACTTCTAACTACAGTACTGTATACTGAGGCGGTTTTCCCTGCCCTGTTATTACTACAGTACAATATAGGTTTTGCCATTTATTGGTGATGATTCTCTCTGATGCTGTCTGTATGCCTTACTACGGCAAGAATCATAATACCTGTACTGTAAGCTTAAAGCAAAAATTAGGCTATGGAAGGTTTTCCCCCCTTAAATTTATCAAATGGAAAGTGCCAGTAATAAAATTCGAAAGATTATGAGGACTGGAATTGACCTTTAGGTTCATTATTCCAGGTCCAAAAATTAATACTGAATATTGGACTACATATTCTGGCTGACAACATTTAAGCTATATACAGTACACTGGACCCTTGCTTTATACGCATTCACTATATGCGAATCCGTATTTGTGCTGCGACCCTATTTCTACCCATAATTCATTTTATGTGGAAAAGATTCCCAATTATGTGTTCTGTAGAAGATATGGTGCACTAGTTTCATATTACAGTATATTATAACAGGGTTGCTATGATTTAAATCAAATGATTTAAATCACATGATATAAATCGATTTAAATCAGAGTAAAAAAATCATGATTTAAACCAAAATGATTTTTTTACTAATAACTGTTCTCTTTTTATTCTACATGATTGAAAAGTATATGCAATGCAGCAGGCTAATAACATTATTTGGATTTACATAATTATGTACTGTACTATAGTCTGTTCTCTCCAGTTTTGCAAAACTTTGATCATATCATAAGGTCTCATTATTAATGTATATATTTACATGAAATATATTGTTACCTAAGATAATAAATACTATTGAAATTCAGAAATCATCACATCCCAGGATCTTTGTATAGAAGAGCAGGAGGAACAATGCTAGTAATACCATCAGACACACGATGGAACAGTGACAGATTCTATTGAATCTTATTTAAAGAACTGGGAGACCCTTGTCAAAGTGTGCAAAGAAAATAGTGAAGACATTGATAAGAAAATTGAAAGGAAAGTTAATGATAAGGCATTAAAAATAACTGCAGAAGACTATTTAGAGAGACTGAAGCCTATTGCTGTAACATTGGACTGTGTTCAGAGAGAACATACCCTATTAAGTGATGCTGTAGAAATCTGGGTAAACCTGAAAACTGATATTAAGGAGTATTTAACAGATAAGGAGGATATGGATAATTTTGAAAAAAGAATCAAAGTAGCATTGACAACTGCCCATTTTCTAGCTAATGTGATAGATCCAAGGTATCAGGGCAGACATCTGACCCCTGAGCAGAGAGACATTGCAGAACAGTATGTGTGTGAGTCTCTTCCACATTTCCTTTCAACATTAATGTCCTTCCATGGAAGAAGTGCACCATTTAAAGAGGTCTATTTTGGTAAAGATGTTGTAAAATCTCTCTCACCCCTTGCTTGGTGGCAGTATTTTGCCAATGATATGACAGGAAATGTAATGGATGTTCCTAGGCAATTATTTACAGCTGTTGCATCATCAGCAGGGGTCGAGAGAATTTTTTCCACATTTGGATTTGTACACTCAAAGATAAGAAATCGCCTAGGACAGGAAAAGGCATCTAAGCTTGTCACAGTATATAAGCATTTCAAAGTTCAACTAAGCTAATTTAAATGTTTTGAACTATTTTTTGTTGTTTACAGAATGAGAATATTGTGTTGACTTGAAGTTATTACCGGTAATTATTAATACACTATAATCCTACAAATGTAAGAAAATAAACTTATTACCAGCATTATTTTTTTTACAAAATGAGAATATTATTCTGTTGACTTGAAGAAGTTAAGTTATTAATTTTTGAAACACTGTAATCCTATAAGAGCATTTATCTTAAATTTAATTTTTACGTTTGGATTTGTGCACTCAAATGTAAGATATGTTACCAGTTTTCTTTTATTTTACAAAAGAATATTAGTGTGTTAAATTCCATTGGTACATCTACTGCATAAATATTTTAATGCCAATTTTCTGTTTATTATCCTGAATAAGCTTTGGTTGTAAAATACTGTTTTTATGGTTTAAAAATACTCTTTTAATGCAATTAGTAAAAAAATAAAAAATCGATTTAAATAAAAAAAATCCAATTTAAATCAAATAAATCGATTTTTTTTAAATCATGATTTTTTCCAACCCTGTAATTATAATACTGTATAATATAATATAATATAATATAATATAATATAATATAATATATTATATTATACAGTACATCCGTCATTCGTGATTTTGATGATTCACGGTAAGCAGATGGTGGTTATGGTGGCTAGCTTGCAAGCCTTTTCCCACAGCACAACGAGTCACCCCACGCAGCATCTTGTGTTGTACTCTCAAAACTTTAGTGTTTCTGTGTGAAATAGCTCCTAAAAGACTGCCTAGTTTCAGTGTTAGTGATGCTAGTAGAGTGAAATGTAAAAGGCAGAAGTCACTGATGACCCTGACAAAGAAAGTTTTATTATTAGATAAGTTAAAAGAGGGGATGAGTGGTGCCACAGCTGGTCAGTTGTTTGGTATAGGTATACAATAGTGCACCAAGGTAGTACATCTAAGTTACTATTCGTGGTTTTGCCAATTCGAGTCCTTTTTTGGAGCCTATCCCTCACGAATGGCAAGGGTCTACGGTATTATATTATATCTTTATTTCTAAACCACATTACAGTACTTTAATGATTTTTCTTAATTTTTATAGCATTTATGCTCCAGAAATGGTTGTGAAATGTGGCACAATGTGCGTGTGTCTGTGTTTACTGTGCTGTATGTAACGTCATGGGATGCGGCTGGAGTGGTGAGTCAGCCACTCCACACACTTTCACTTTCCACACAAACAATGTCCATGCTCTTCATGTCTTAGTTCATAGTTTTATATTTTATAGTTTTATATTTTATTATTTTTATTTGTAACCCACATTAGATTATTGTAATGATTTTTCCACAACTTTTATAGCATTCCTGTTGACTTTTAGGAGTTGTGGAACATATCCTAATTTTCTCCATAAGATTAAGTATTACTATATGCGGATTTCCATTATGCTGTGTTGTGGCAGAACGCAACCATAGCATAATGTGAGGGTCAGGTGCATATCTAATTGCTGTATATCAATACTCCTGGTCTATAGCATGTTTTACAATTCTGTACAGGCTACACTGATGATGTCACTCCTAAGAAACTAAAATGTATGATGATAATTTAAATACATACTATGAGTACAGCTCCTCTCCGACTTACGACCTACTCAACTTACGACCACCCGCACTTACAACCTGCCTCAGGTCGTACTAAAATTTTGTCAAATTACGTCTTTTCGAGTCCCAACTTCAGTACACAGACAAAATTTTCGTTTGTAATTCACTTTAATATGGCTGGCAAGCTTAAAAGTGAGAGTTTTGTGGTACTGAGAAGAAAAAGAGACTCCCATTTTAGATTTTTTTTATTTATTATTTAAGCATTTTCGACTAACGACCTGGATTTGGGTCCCTAACACCGTCGTAAGTCAGGGAGGAGCTGTAACTGAATATCTCAGTCTCTTGGATTGAAATTTGAACACCCTGTTCTACCATCTCAATACAGTATGTAGGAACCACACGTAAAAAACTTCTAAATACGGTATACAGGTAGTCCCCGACTTACGACCAACTCGACTTACATCCACCTGCACTTACGACCGCCTCAGTCGTACCAAAATGTGGTCAAATTATGTATTTTTGAGTCCCAAAGTCAGTACACAGACAAATTTTCATCTGTAATTCACTTTAAAATGGCTGGCAAGCTTAAAAGTGAGTGTTTTGTGGTGCTGAAAAGAAAAAGAGACCCAAATTTTCGATTTTCTATTTGTTACTGTATTTAAGCATTTCCAACTTACGACCTGGATGTCGGTCCCTAACCGCGTAATAAGTCGGGGAGTACCGGTACAGTACTGTATTAAGAGTTTTTAAGACTTGATTTTGAATTAAAACTTTGAACACAGGATGCAAAACTTCTTACTGAAAGACCGAGGTAATTATTTGAGCAGAAGTTAAGAATAACAGACTCCTGTCCTTGGACTCGGATTTTCACAGCTTGTTTACTGGTGATGACACGTTCAGTCTTCCAGGTTCCTGCAGCTTTCATTCCTTCCAGTTCAGCACCCAAGACATCCCGACACAATGCCTGGGCATGGCTTGAACGCACTCCTTTACAATAATTCTTTAAGTGACATGTCCCTGTTAAGAAGTTGGATACAAGGTAACATGTAGAGGATTAAAATTACCAAGTCATAAAAATTTTGTGTACTACTGTATAACTATATTTCCTCTTTAAGAGTAATAATCCAAATAATAAACATGCCTTCTCTCTCTTCCTTTGTGTTTCTGGTAATGAAGTAAACACATTTAAGAGATGGAGCTTTATTCTTGATGTTTCATCACAAGACATCAGGAATAAAGCTCCATCTCTTAGTCGTGTTTCCTTCACTGCCACACTACCATCTGTCCACTATGAACATGTTCTTTGTATTATTGTTTGCAAATTAATTATTTTTGCATGTTTGTGTTGAGGAGCAGCAAAAGCAGAAAAAAAAGAGTAAATAAATGGCACATAAATAATGTACAATACAGTATATCAAATTACTGTACCTGTACTTGATGGCAGCTGTTGGGTAAAACTAGAATGGAATGCCCCCCCCTACCCCCTGCAAACCCAGGGTGCAAGCCCAGAAAGTACAGCCTATAGCAAAGATCAGGGGATTGGCACAGCTCTGGTGACCATAAAGCATGTTGAAACAGTTAATGCTTTTCTGTTAAATTTGTGAATCTGGTTATTAATCAGGCTACAAATTAGCAATGCCCAGCAGCCTTGTTTAAGGGTTGAACAGACTTGTATTTTGAGAGAAAAATACCCAGATGGGAATGCTTAGCCAGTGAAGCCCATCAACCAGTGAGGTGAAGGGAGAGGGAAGGGGCTGTGTGTGTGTGTGTGTGTGTGTGTGAAGGGAGAGGGAAGGGGCTGTGTGTGAGTGTGTGTGAAGGGAGAGGGAAGGGGCTGTGTATGTGTGAAGGGAGAGGGTAGGGGCTGTCTCTGTGTGTGTGTGTGTGTGTGTGTTTAAAATGATGTCGTATCGTGTTGCTACAGGTAAGCGGAACCTTGAAATTTCTGTTCCCACAATGACCTGGCTTAAGAAAGTCCAGGAACATGCTATAGGCTGAGAGATGTCACAGCTGATCCCTCCTATTTCTATTGATCTATTCTCACAATGACCTGTGTTACAAATTGAAGTGAAAAAATCAACATGAATAAGAAAGCCTCAAGGAAAATTGACCATGTTCTTTAAACACCACTGGGTGGAAAAAGGTGAGGGGGCAACCATGATGAGAGACGGGTGTAATAAGACCCACAAACTGTACCAGGAACAATATGCTACCCCCATATCATTACTATTCTCATTACCATGTGTGTGTGTATTCAGTTGCTCCACACTACTAACTGCCTCGACTAATTCACACAACTAAAGTGGCATGGTGCATGTATGATGGTGGAGTGGTGTTGGTGTGGTGTTGCATGGTGGTAATGTGTAGATGTGTTATGTAGTGTGGTTATGATGTGTAGATGTGTTATGTAGTGTGGCTATGATGTGTAGATGTGTTATGTAGTGTGGTTATGGTGTGTAGATGTGTTATGTAGTGTGGCTATGATGTTATGTAATGTGGCTATGATGTGTTATGGTGCGCGATGTGTTATGGTGCGCAATGTGTTATGGTGTGCAGATGTGTTATGTAGTGTGGCTATGATGTGTAGATGTGTTATGTAGTGTGGCTATGATGTGTAGGTGTGTTACGGAGTGTGGCTATGATGTGTAGGTGTGTTATGTAGTGTGGCTATGATGTGTTATGTAATGTGGCTATGATGTGTAGATGTGTTATGGTGTAGCTGTGTTATGTAATGTGGTTATGGTGCGTGGCTGTTATGTAGAGTGGTTATGGTGCGTGGCTGTTATGTAGTGTGGTTATGGTGCGTGGCTGATATGTAGATGTGTTATGATGTGTAGTTATGATGTGTAGCTGAGATGTGTTATGTAGTGTGGCTATGGTAGTAAAGAACTTCAGCTCACCCCCCACAATACAGTAATCAGTTAAGCAGGACAGTTTACTTGTTTATCCCGAGACGTTTGTCTTAATGACGACAGTAGTAATATATTATATAAAAAGTTGTGGTGTTCTTACCTCTCCTGAGGATTAGTGCGGCCATCTTCAGCGGGCGCTGATGAACACTAGGTGTCCTCTTAACGTTGTTACCAACTGTCCCCCACTCTCAAGTCGTAGTCTCACGGATGCTGGTTGACCCAATCTTAAATAAACTCCATGAAAATCCCAAGATGAAGAAGTAACCGAGTATAGTTTCTATGTAGGACACAAAGCAAAACGCCACTAAGCAGGTTCAGTCATACACTACAGGAAGCAATATTATATTCAGACACAATACCCCTGAACAGGGTTTGACACAACACTTGCCTAACACTGCCTACCTGCATTACAAGTTAACTTATTGGAACAAAACATAAAATTATAATTTTCGAAACCGAAAGATTTAATGAATCTATTTATTGATATTTTACGACTGTACTGATGTCACTAATATTTATTTGAGGAAAAGTATCAATAAAATAAAATCTAGGCGCTTGTGGTGCTACCCTAGTGCGATGGACCAATGGGAGCACTTGGCCAGTTGGCTGGCGGGCCGTGGAATCGGCGCCAGCCACACCATTGCCAAAAATACTTAAACTTGGCCTTTCTAATCTCGACATTTGAATGTATCGTAATTTATTTATCATTCATATTTGCATACGCATTTTTTTCTGAAACATATATTAGTGCGCACTAGACTGACTAAGTGAAGTGAATGCGTCAAATATTGGTAAACAGCTGATTTGTCATACGAATTCATACTGTTCATACATCCTGTAAGAGGAAGTATGATCCAACTGAAGTTTAAGATCACCACAGCTTATTTCACCTAAAGATTAACCACCCGAACATTAACCTAACCTAATCTCACCACCCCAAATAGTGTTAGGGTGGTTAATCTTTAGGTGAAATAAGTTAAGGTGTAGATTCTTCAGGTGATCTACTTATGGAGATGTGTTACAACATACTGTACACTGTATAAGTGTGTGTGGACTCCGCGATATGCATAATCAGCACAGTAGCCCACTTACCCAGGGCCGGATTAAGCTTAATAGGGCCTGAGGCACAGATCAACTTGGGGCCCCCTACCCTCAAGGTGTATATATATATATATATATATATATATATATATATATATATATATATATATATATATATATATATATATATATATATATATATATATATATATATATATATATATATAACACATTCAATGTTCATAAGAAACAGAAAATTGAGACGTTGCTAGGACATCGTTGAACGAAGTTCATGCTTTATATGCTTCAACTTCGAGAATGTTTGGATTTGGGGGCCCCTTAGAGTCGGGGGGCCTGAGGCCAGTGCCTCAAGTGCCTTATGGTTAATCCGGCACTAGTGTGCAGCAGAAAAATAACCGACGGACAAACAGATGATAAAAATAATAATTATATTGCATAAAAGTTACAGAAAAATGTGAAGAATAAAAAAGCAAAGAAAATTCTAGAATTATGGTTTAAAAATTATACTGCAGCCGGATACAAGCTAACAAAATCGACAGCAGGACCTGAGAATACAACACGAGAGGGTGTAGTGGATTCCTCCCCTACAAGCACTGAACCTTCTCGAATTCCCCAGCCTACGCCTCCAGCACCTCCCACGGAGCGGGGGTCAACTATCTACCCACGCCTACCCCTGCCTTATAACGCCTGACACCGCTGTGACCAGTCCCTTTTCTACCCAGTGCCACCAGCAAGCAACACCGCCTCCTCCGCGCCAGCCTGGCGGCTCCCGCTCCCGCCGGCGACCTAGGCGTCCATCAAGCCGCGTGCCCTCACTCTGGGCGCCCTCACCACCCAGCTCGCTCTACTCAACGCTTATTACCATGCTACCTACCCACCAACACGCTGCATTGTACATCCAATACAATATGTATACAGTGAGCACATTGATAGTTTCCTTTCTCCATCCCATCCTGAGTGTGAACCAATATCTCATAACCCTACAAGGGATCATTATGAAAGTTCTCCCCGACCCAAAGTAGCCTATTCAAAAATCTCTCCCAACTGTGACCAACTGAAGAATCCCCCCCACCCAAGCTGTTCTTTACTGTTTTACTGACAAATGACTTTCCCATCACTAATTTTGGTACCTTAAGTCAACTAATGAATGTATTATGTAAATCAGGACACAAAAATACAATAAAGCACTGTGTGTGTGTATACGTAGCTGCAATATTGGTTAGGTTACTTAGATTACGGGCTAACCTAACCTCTAACTTGGCAAAGGTAAACCCTACCTCACCGTGGTTGTCACTGATCGGCGTGACCGCATTACCTGGTCATCAACTGAAGAATATGCACCCCAAACGCACCCAACAGACAAAGTTCCCCCTAAAGCGACCTGGGAGTGGGGGGGGGGGGATTCTTCGTACGGTCCAACGAGTGCAATTAAGGTAGGGTAAACTGTCAACCAGTTGTTAGTAGGCACCAAAAAAAAACAAAAAAAAACAAGCAAACACTCGTATAAGATGAAACATGCTCAAGCTCGCGCGACCAAGTACGTAAACAAATACAAATACTGAATCTCTCTCACACACACAAAAAAAACTCAGAGGTGACTTCAATATCACCACCACCACAATAATAGCTTACTGAACTTGAGAAAAAAAAAGAGCCTAGGGGTACACGCTGGGTTCAAGTTTAATAACCCTCCTCCCTACGCCCTTCCCTTTCCTCGCCTATTTTTGTTTTTACCGCAGGATACTGTCAAATTGTGGCTTTGTCACTATAAATTCAAAATAGTGAAAAATGGATCAAGATGTACATGTAGTATCAAGGGAGATTGTGATACGGTGAGAAAGAGTAATGTTATAATATGTAGAGGGCTATAGAGAATGAGAAGCAGGTCGTACGCTCACTGCACCTGTAGTGGATTTCTCCCCTACAAACGCTGTTTGTCGCTGCGTAGCCGACCCCACGAATTCCCCAGTGTATGCCTCGTGGTCTAGGTCAACCAGCGCCACCCACGGAGCGGGGGTCAACTACTAAGCCGCCACCCTCATGATAAGGGCTATTATAGTCCTACCTTCATTTGAGGTTTAGGTTTCAGTGTTGAGCACGATGATATTTGGTAACTTGTTCCAAATATCATCATTAACTCGAATACGCTGAATTGCTTCAAACATAGGTTGGATGCTCATATGAACAATAGGGGTTGGGTGTAAACGGGACTGCCCAGTTTGGGCCAATAGGCCCGCTGCAGTTTCCCCCATTCTTATGTTCTTATCCCATCCTGAGTCTGAACCTAAACATCTCATACCCCACACACTCACTGTCAAGGGGGGGAGGGAGGGCGGGTTGAGAGACTGAGGGGATGACGGTGTTGGCTGATTCATGCCTCACAACGTCAATAACCCTGACTTTTCAGTTATAAGTGGGTATGAGTTTACATGGTTGTTAGGTATTATTAAAGGTGGGGTTCGATTCCTGACTATAGTGCGTTTTTTCTCAGCTGAGAAAAAACGCACTATAGTGAGACATTGTATAATGAAGTCCTCATATATATATATATATATATATATATATATACAATCAACACCTCAACCCGCCAGGATTCGAACCCACGGCCCACAAGCCTATGACTGTGACCGGGGAACGCTAACCGCTGGACCACCAGGATACTTGGAAATTTGGTTGGGTCACCTTACCCTCTGATCTGACTACCGACCGTTGCCGTGCTATTTAAAGATTAGTAGGGTCATTACCTCATACCTGACCATTGTGGACCTGGTCTCACCCTCCTCTGTATATATACACCTTGTTTTGTACTCCTTAGTCTGTACTCACCCCTGAAGGTGTGAATTACACGAAAGCGCTTGGGAACTTCCTGTTTTCTTCTTTCCTTGTGGTTATCAGCATATATATTTAATGTAGATCCACAATGAAAACATGGATAAGATAAACCTTGATAAAATCACACAGGGAAATGGAAACAATGGAGCACCTTAGCTTTCGTCTTTATTCAAGACATCAGAGCCTCAGAGGCAACTTGGTTGGTGGTGAATGGGAGCCTTGGGAGGGAAGTTGGAGAATGCCTCGGGCTAAGGTCTGGGGTCTGAAATTATGCTCAGCTGTGGGGAATCATGTTAATTGACAATACAATTATGCATTGGTAGCCTCAGATCACGAAATGGTTTTTTTTAATAGACACAAACAAATTTTGTCTGGAAAAAATAGTTCAACGGCCAAGGTTCGTGGTAATTTTCTAAAATAGTACAGTACATCTTCCTCTTGTATAAGTGTAGCCAGGCGAGGCCACATCACCAGCTGTTATGAGCAATCGCCTGGGGCATAACGACTGACGGCTACTGTACGAACCAGGCAAAATTTGGGGCGTTACAAGTTTACATTTGGTTGGGCCATTTTCCGGAACTTCCGGGTTGTCCGATGTTGTTTCACAGTACGTACAGTAGAAACTACTGTTTACTGACGATATTGAAAAATTTTGACAGTAAAATATAACTTGAAAAACCAATACTGCACTGGGTAGATAATTATCAGTTCAATAGGTCAATCAAAGCTATCGTTCACTGGGTACACATCAATTGTTCAAAGTCATGAGCAGCTTGCATACCACACAGATACTATATATCTGTGGTCAGTCAGCTGAGGTGAGAATAGTCAGTCTGTGGTCACGCGCCAACAGCTCACCTACCTCCCTCTCTCCTCAACGCTTACTCCACTACACGCTCGCCAAGTTCATACATTCATTCGTTCTCTTACCTTGTCTCATGCATGCAGCACCCGATCACCCATTCGCCCACTCTATTCTCATTGTTACCCCGGTCCCTCACTCATCCTCCTTTTTAATTGCAGTCCTTTATTCTCGCCCAATCACTCATTCTTTCCTTATCACTCTTGCATTCACATTCACAATTTGTTAAACTAAAAACACTCGCTCATTCCAAGCATGACAACTCAGGCACAGGGTATAATCTTTACAAATTAAAGCATTTCCTACACGAATATCTAGAGCATTTAAATATTTAAAGATATATCGGATTAGGCAGCTACAGCATTTCATCTGATGATTAAACACCAAAATGCTACCTGTGGTAGTTAGTTTAGGTTAGCATTAGGGTGTTTAATCATCAGGTGAAATATGCAAGGGTGCATAAACTTCAGGTGATCCAAAAATCTTTAAAACCTCCCGATAAGTGGATGTGTTGGGTGGGTGAAGTGCTTCCACTATCAATGTTTACCACCAACCAGAAAGGATTTACCGGTTTCAGATTGTATATACCTCAGTCCTTCTAGGGAGTTAGGCACCAATCTAAAACAGGTAAAGTTGAGGAGAGCAAAGGAGGAGGAAAGAGTAAATAACCAAGTACAATACGTACTAGAATAAGACAGAAACTGAAAGAAGAGGCTGGTATTGGAAATGAGATTTGAGAGGGGAGGGGCGACTGTGAGAAATGAGTAGGGAAGGGGAGGAGAGACTATGGGATATGAGTAGGGGAAGGGAGGAACGACTATGGGAAATGAGTAGGGGAGGGGTAGACTATGGGAAGTGAGTAGGGGAGCGACTATGGGATATGAGTAGGGGAGGGGGGCGACTATGGGATATGAGTATGGGAGGGGAGGGGGCGACTATGGGATATGAGTATGGGAGGGAGGGGGCGACTATGGGATATGAGTATGGAGGGAGGGGCGACTATGGGATATGAGTAGGGGGGCAACTATGGGATCTGAGTAGGGGTTGGGGAGATTGTGGGAAATGAGTAGTGGAGGGGAGGAACGACTATGGGAAATGAGTAGGGGAGGGG